GCGCTTTGCTCTGGTGTTTACCTGAATAAAGAATTCTTACCTTCACGGACTACATACAGTTCATCTCTGAGCGCACGCAGTAACCCTTAAGAGATCTCTGTGAGTTCCAGGACCACCAGAGCTACATAACAGAGAGACTGTCTCAAAACAAATTTAAAAATTGCCATAAGCCAGTAGAGTTTCTGATGATATTGATGTCATTTCCCCTTTTGAAACATGTTATCACATTGACACTATACATATTCCTTCCACCCCTGAATCATTTCCCCTTTGAGAGTTGGAAGTCAACCTGATGTTCGGTTATAATATTTAAGCCTGGCTTTCCTAAGAGCAGACAGCACAGTTACAATACTCAGGAAGTTTAGCAATGATCTAATGTAGAGCCTTATTCACATTTCCCTGAATGCCCCATTAATGCCTTTCTTAGTACCTTTAAAACTAGAATCTAATCCAGGGTTGTGTGTTGCATTCAGATGTTCTGTCTCCTCAGTTTTGTTTTTGTTTTTTTGTTGTTGTTTTTTTTTGTTTTGTTTTGTTTTACTTTTTAGTCTGTGTATTCCTTCCTTCCTTCCTTGTAGGTGTGCTTAAGACGTTCTGTGATGTGTCCGCTAAGGTATTTGTTTGGTTCAGCATTTTTAGGTGTTTCAACAGGAGGGTTGTGTGCCACATGAACTGGAAACTGGGCAGTCCAAATGTTGTTGTAATCTTTTATATTACTGTCTTGTGACTCTGGGACCCTCAGTGACCTTCCCAACCTCATCTTCTGCCATTTCCAAGCCACTGATATACAGCACACTACTGCTACTTCCTATACTCACCATTTGTTCATTTACTCAAAGCCCATCTACTTTCAACACTAACCTAGCCTCTGGTCAGACAGACACAGACATCAAAAGAAGCAGATGTAGCACAGTCGGCATCCTATTCACGTGGTATATGTTTATCAATTGTTACTCTTTTGCCAGAAACTGGGCCTTCAGCAGGGAGACAAGAATAGGGGTATACAGTGGTATATTTTATGTTTATGGAGGGTGGGAGATGGTATGCTCTACTT